AAATAAATAAAAGCCCCTTTAGGATGACAATGTGCTCTAGTCCAGGTCACCTCAGTTAAGAAATATTAGTCTGGCTGGGCGTGGTGGCTCATGCCTGTAATCCTAGCACTCTGGGAGGCCGAGGAGGGAGGATTGCTTGAGCTCAGGAGTTCGAGATCAGCCTGAGCAATCATGAGAGAGCCCCCATCTCTACTGAAAATACAAAAATTAGCCGGGCGTTGTGGTGTGTGCCTGTAGTCCCAGCTACTCAGGAGGCTGAGGCAGGAAGATGGCTTGAGCACAGGAGTTTGAGGTTGCTGTGAGCTAGGCTGATGCCACAGCACTCTAACCCGGGCAACAGAGCGAGACTCTGTCACAATAAAAAAAAAAAAAGAAATATTAGTCTAGTTTTCACACTTTAGCTTCCCTTAATATTGTATTATATTCCCTTGATGTGTTGGGGGGGAGCGTGCGTTTACTTTTTCTATTTTGCAGGGGGTAGAAACAAAGCGATAAATTACAAAAATTATAAAATCAGTGAACTAAAATCACAGAAATGCTATTCAATTAAAAATAAATGAAACAAGGTTAAGGTTTAGCTAAGGTCTCTCTTGAAAATTCCACATAAAAAGCAAAAATAACTCAACCTCCCCTTTCTATACAATCACTTATCCTCTTGGGCTCATATTGTTTGTTAAACAGGCTTTTTTTTTTGTTTTTTTTTTTGTTTTTTTTGAGACAGAGTCTCACTGTGTTGCCCGGGCTAGAGTGCCGTGGCTTCAACCTAGCTCACAGCAACCTCAAACTCCTGGGCTCAAGCGATCCTCCTGCCTCAGCCTCTCAAGGAACTGGGACTACAGGCATGCACCACCATGCCCGGTGTCCAGATAATTTCTTTCTATGTTTAGTAGAGACGGGGTCTCGCTCTTGCTCAGGCTGGTCTCGAACTCCTGACCTTGAGCGATCCATCCGCCTCGGCCTCCCAGAGTGCTAGGATTACAGGCGTGAGCCACCGCGCCCAGCCCAGAAGGTTGTTCTTTAAACAGTATTTGCTTTGTGTTATGATTATTCTTGGAAGTAAATTAAAAATAATAGAGAATAAGAAGAAATGGGGTCATTTGCCAAAGAAATGCGACAAAAGCTTCTGAAGACCACCTCCCTTTAACTCCTCTGCTTCCCCACCAAACACAAAGAAAAATCCCAAACCCCAAACCAGAAAATAAAACAGTAACATTAGAGATAGTATGAATGTAATCTATTAAGTGGCTGGATGTGTGTTTACTCAGAAAATGTTTGGGGCAGGGTTGGTCCTGAGAGATGACACAGCCTAGTAGTTTGTAATCCAGTCTGTAGGTGGAATCCTTCAGAGAGCTCACACTACTCTTCTTCTGATTCCCTTGATTTCGGGTGGGGCTCTATTATTAGGAAATTGTAAAAGCTCCCAGGTGTTTCTAACATGTTATGGGTAAGAACCACTGCATGGGTCTTAGGCTTTCATTTTACAAATGAAGAGACAGTGGGTGGGGATTTCCGTAGCACACGTGGCTGATCAGTGTCAGAACCAGTGCTAGATTTCAAGTTTTCTTCTCCTTCCACTTAACATTCATTACACTGCTCAGGCCCAGGACAGGGTTCATTCATTTCATAGCTCCTTTAGCCTGTCTACATTTAATGGAGCTGGGCCTATGGTAGGTATTCAGTACATATTAATTTAATGAATTCATATCTAGTTTCCAATTGTCAATACAGGCCATGTTGGGAAAACCTGTCAATGGAAGCCAAAAATGCAAAATGCCATGCATGAAGTTTACACAGGTTCAGCACTGAGTGTCTCTTATTGCCTGTTTTTAGGACTCAACAAGCTGTCCCCATATAACGCTAGAACTTGCAATGACTTCTATAAGACTTTCCATGGTATCAGACAAATGAAGAGATTTTAGGGCAGGCTGAGGGTAAATGGGGAGTGTGGGATGGGGTAGGAAGGGAATGCAGAAATCTACACTTGAGCCACATGCGAAAAGAAGGAAAAATCTACAACCAAATCATACTGGAATCAATGGTAGGCTAAAAAATGTGGGACTAAGGGGACAGAGTAGCATTTTCCTTGCTCTGGGCGCACATGGAAAGTACTGAATGAGGAAATGAAAAATGACTTGGTTTGCAGGACAATGGCACATTCAGATAAGGATGAGCTCACACAGAGGTGGTGTCTACTTGATATGATTTAAAATTCAGTTTTTCCTTCAGTTCTTGTCAGAAGGACCTAGGAATTTTATTTTCTCTCAAACTTCATTGGCCTGGGCCTTATCCCCACAGATTTAAATTCTGTAGAATCAGAGTGGAGATTCTGATGAACCTGCTTAATTTAAGGAGGATTGAAATCAATTGACTGGCAGTTGTCTGGGACTCTCATCCATCATGCAAATACCCGAGATTCCACCTGAGAACTGCAATCCTTTGCTTACAAGCCTCCTCTCACTCATATGAAACTTGCCCAGGGAGAGGCCACACTTGAGGTTTTATCAGTTATTAATACTTTAAGATAGTGAGTGAATGAGTTTCATCTCTTGCTTCCCTAAGAGGTAGTTTTGATAATCACCATTACAAAAACAGTAATGGATTTCTGGCCTATTGTCTTTCACTCTTCCACCTCTGTGAGGAGCACAGCCACTCAAGCTTGCCCAGTGCTTTACAGTTGACAAAATACCTCCATATCTTACCACTTAGTCATTCCTTGCTGTATGTTCTTTTTATGGATGAGAAAAATTACAAAGTAATGTCTCCTAGCAACCTCTTTTAACACAGCCTTGATGAAGAGCTCAGTTTGAGGGAAAAAAGACATTCTAGTGGGTGGAGCCACACAAATATTTGATAGGTGCCCCAGAGGCATCATAGCTATTTCCCAGGAACACAATGAATCAGATCCTATCCCAAGCCACCTCCTCCTTCATGTGTGGCAATCTTGATAGAAATAATTAGGAAATAAGCCAAGAATCTGTTTTTATTAAAAAAAAACAATTTATTGAAAAAGAGTAATGCTTTATACAAATCCCATTATAAAACCCCAAAATATCTATCAGTCTGTTTCCAGGCATGGTAACAGAGTATAAAAATATGAAAGTTGGATAAATTCTGTTGTAACTATTCTGTCGGTCATTTTTATCATAGGCTTTTTTTTTTTTTTTTTTTTGTAGGGTTTAGCAACTGGTATCCACAGGCATTTACATTCACACATCATTAGGATCTATATATGTGGCAAAGGTTCCTTAAATAACTTTTAGAAGCATAGACTGTCATGTTTGGAAGACAAAACAAAATTTTTCTAAATCCAAATCCTCATAAGACACAGTCCTCTGGCTAGCTTTCCCCATGTGGTTCCCTAGGAAGTACCATTCTCAAACTAACTACCCTAGCGGTGTCAGCTGTCAGCTAATAGCAAGAGCTCCGAAGGCATCACTTAACAGATATCACCTTACAGATACTTACACGTTATTATAATTCAAAACATCTCCCAAACTGCTGGCTTTACCAATATTTAGGCTTTTATTTTTCCTCATTATATCTGCCATAAAAGCGTCAGGCTTCACTGAAGAATCTTAAACTTCCTTAGAACCTTTTTCATTTAGTGAGCTGAATTTTGCTTCACTCTCATCACTTGTGAAACTGGTTAAGGTAAGAAATCCATTTCTTAATATTCTCTCTTTTCAGTGATTTGAAAAGTAACTTCCAAAGCTATGCACTTAAATTTCTTAATTTTTTTTTTCTTGTACAGCACTTTCAACCTTACAAAACCACATTTACATGTCTCCTTTCTCACTGAATCCCCACAACATCCTGTGAAGTAGGCAGATCAGGAATTATAATCCACCCCTTACAGATGAAGCAATAAATCTAGGGCAGCCAAATGCCTTGCCCAAACTCAGACAGTAATTGATAGCACCAAGATTCAAATCCAGGTCTCCAGACACCAATGCCAACACCCTTTCCATTACATCATCTTGCACAAGTGAAGTAGTATTTTTTACAGACTAGAAAAGTAAGAGCACTTGTTAAAATGGAACATGCACCAACAACATGCTAGGCACAGCTTAATGAAAGGAAATACACCAGTGGAGAAAGGAAGGTACTGAACCACATTAAGTTACTTGTGTAGGTTTTGTTTAGTGACTTCTAAACAGCCAATCAAGCAAATAAAAACACTACTTAGACATATTTCATGTTCAAAGAATGAGAGTGATATCAACTAATTAATACTCACACTACCTCTACCAACTGGTTTAGTATCATTATCTCAATTTGACAGATGGGAAAATAGGTAGAAAGATTAAATGACTCGCTTACAGCTACAGAGAGAATATTTGTCACCACATTATCACTCCAGAAAGTCTAGCACTTTGTTTAGACAAACAGACCACACCTCTTCAGGAAGAGGTAGACTACATGATAATTACAACGGGAAAACAATATAGTTGAAGAGGGAAGAATGAAAAGGTAGTTTGGGAAATATACAACTATAAATAAGTAGCTTAAAAATTCAATCAATAAAATTGTGTTACAACATGGGGGTAAGCAGCACAGAACTACTCAATTAGACAAACATTTTGAAAGCAAACAAGAGTGCTATAGGTCAGAGTACAGGGATTGTGTGGGAAGGTCAACAGGAATATATCACTTTAGTCATGCAGAAAGATTTGCCTCCAAAGCTCTGATTTGTAAGAGATTCTTATTGGCCTCAGAAATTAAAATGTAGGCTATGAAATGTGTTAAATTCGGGAGTTAGAAACCAACCAAGTGAAAAACAAATATGGGCCTAATGAAGAAGCAAGTGCTATAAGATTATGATAAAAAATAAAATAAGTATATGTAAAGGGCACATGTGAAGAATTGAAAGAATTCACACTTGGCAAAGTAGGTGTGGTCTTATGGTAAAGACACCAAAAGCTGATGAAGGAGGGTAAATGATATTTGACTTATTACATATGTATATTTAAAGAAAGAAGAAAACATACCAATAAACTCATTTAATCAGTATAGAATTAAATATTTTTTGTATTTTAGATATATTTTAAGTATGTTGGTATCAACATAATGAGAAGAGTTCTTTACTGTCTAATTTTTTTATAGAAAAACATATATATATATACATATATCTATATATATTTAAAGAGCAAATCCTCCCCCCATTTCAGTATGGGGGAAGCAGTAATACAAATGGACAAGGCTTTCCTCTTGTATTGAGGAAAGAAGATAAAATAAGACTAGGTCATTTCTAGCAATAGGTCTTTTTTTTGTAATACCACAGTTGAGATAACAATAGTCAAAACTCTAAGATCCTAATGTCAATGATAGTATTTTAGTGTCCATTTTCTGTTTGTTTCAGCATGAGTGTCTCCTTTTGCCTCCATGTCACACGTAGTCTTTCCCACTGGAAGGCGTAGGTTTTGGATAGGGCCGTGGTGTTGGGTAAGAGGTTGTTTTTCGAGGACAGGAGCAGCAAAGTAGGGCACCTCCCAGAAGGCAGAGAGAAGCAGCAGCCCAGCCCGTGAAGAGAGCCTGACCAAACTCATACCTAAGAAGAAAAGAAAATGCATTTGTTAATCAATGAATTATTGGCAACTTTTCTAATATAATTAAGGAAGAAAAGTAATACTCGTTATATTTTTTTTTATTGAAAATAACCTACCATGATCCCTTGGGGAAGTACTTTAAGGTGTGCACACATATACTCAGAATGTTTGTATTGTTGTTGCTTTTTTTTTTTGAGACAGAGTCTTGCTCTGTTGCCTGGGCTAGAGTGTCGTGGCGTCAGCCTGGCTCACAGCAACCTCAAACTCCTGGGCTCAAGCAATCCTCTGCCTCAGCCTCCCAAGTAGCTGGGACTACAGGCATTGCCACCATGCCCGGCTAATTTTTTATATATATATATTTTTGGTTGTCCAGATCATTTCTTTCTATTTTTTTAGTAGAGATGGGGTCTCGCTCTTGCTCAGGCTGGTCTCGAACTCCTGACCTTGAGCGATCCCACCCGCCTCGGCCTCCCAAAGTGCTAGGATTACAGGCGTGAGCCACCGCGCCTGGCCTAGAATGTTTGTATTGTAATCATTGATAATTTGCAATAGTGGATCAGGAAATAGGAGATGCAATACCAAGTTAATTACACAAATATTTCCAAAGACTTTTCCACATTTAAGACACTTATAAAGCATGCTTATATGTTTTAGAAGTGAGGTTTGAACCATGACTCCTAGGCTAAACCTTAACAAGTCATGCTATCACCAAGAAGCAAGCCTATTCTATAAAGAAACTGACAGACTGTGATGGAGACTATTAGAGTTTTTAACAGTTTATCCCAGGCACCTACATAAACTGAATTCTAGATTTTATGGTTTTGTAAAAAGGATTAAGCTGATTCAGATGGATGTATTAAACCACACACTTGGGGTGAGATATTTGTGAGTGACTATAGACAATAAGGATAGAGAAGGGTTGGCTCTAGAAGTTGAAATGCCTGAGTTTGAATCCCACTATAAATTCTTAACTGCTACCATTTTGATATAGCAACCTCTCAACCTTAGTTTCTCCTCCTCTCAAAGCAGGATAATCCCACTTGTCTCACTGGACTGATTTCAGGATCATGCGCACTAATGTAAATAACAAGTGCATAATGCCTAGCAATTTATGAAGTGCTTTCAGTGCATTCCTGGTATTATCACTTTGGCAAAATTTTGGCCTGTTGACCTCCAGCAGTTTCTGTCCCTACACTGTAAATCTTATGGGATGGGCTCCAACATAATCATTGCAGTATGTGTTCTCCTATATGTGGGTGATTATATAAAAAGAAGCACAGCTTATCTCTCCAAACATGGAGATTTTTCATCCATTCATCCTAGCACTTAACAAACAATAATTACATCTTAACATCCTGACTCTGAATGTAGTTATTAGGCTTTAAAGATGTGAAGACAGTAAGATGAAGAACCTTGTCCCTGATCAAAGAGTGTTGTTAAATGAGAGCCAAGAATCTGCTCTTCAACTTGCCTAACTCGAAATATTAAGAAAGATGACTTTTGTAAAGTAAATTTTATAGTTGTGATGGAACATAAAATTTCAAGGTGGCAGCTCAATATACTTAAAAAAAATCATAGCTTTATATGTATGATTTGGAATAAAATATTATTTGTTAACCTCTGCAGTAGCGCTATTTTTCTCAATCAACCATAAACTGTGCATAGTTTACAAATAATCATAGTTAGGAGTTATAAACATCAGAATATACTGCAGAAAGGAAATTTCAAATATATTAATGTCTTCATTAATACTTGAAGAAAAGAAAACAAGAGAAAAAAATTCCAGCAAACAGTTGCAAATTATAGAGCTTAAAACTTTTCTACTTTGAAGTACACTTTGTCATCAATACAGGCTATTAAAGCAATTATCAAACTCATCTTAATATGAGTCACAGGTCATTTAAATTGTTTGAAAGTTTGACAGAAAATTCCATAAAATTTTTGAAAGCAAATCTGGGAAACTATAGCACTAGCAGAACTTTGCAGGATATAAAAAAGGGTATTTTTCTCAGAGAATAAACTATTTTAGGCATGAATAGCATTACCTGGCATTGACTGGGGTCATGGGGTCATAGAATTCTTGAACAATTCTATTGCCATACCATGCTGTGGCAACTAGAACAGCCAGACCTGCAGAAATTCAAAACAAAAGACTGTTAATCACTATGGAACACTAAGCATAAATATACAGCTCATTAAACCTAAACAAATTTTATAAGCATTAAATCTCATCAATAGCTGACATTTTAGTATTAGGGAGATTAGAAGCTCAGATGATTTATTCCAAGTATTCTGTTAAGACATACAAAAAAATTAGGTTGGAGTTAGGCATAATTTACACTCTTCATGACATCTTATTCACCTAGAGTTCAGGGTTACTAGTACAAATAATGTTACTTGTAAACAAATCAGCAGTTTTATGTTGCACAAGATCTCCTTCAAAGATACATTTGTGTATTAAACTACTTTTGATGAAACCATTGCCATTATTAGTGCAAATAGAGTTGCTTGCAAAAGGGAAGATGAAAACCTTTCTATGTTCTTCTTAACCAAATTCCAATTTTGCGTTTCTGCAGGGTCAAAAGGGAAACAAGCAGCTAGATAACAGAGAGAACAGGATTTATCTCAGAATGGACCAGAACATTCATGTTCCTACTGCTCCACTGGCCAAGGCAATACTTGGCATAGGTGTCGATTGCCCTGAGATTTGCTGAGGGTGCCACATCAGATCCATTTACGCGTCCCAATCCCAATTTCTCATAGCACATTACATTTAGCAACACCAAAGAAACCACTTAGTCAAAATCATTCATTCCATCATTTATAAAAAAA